ATAATTGTCAGCATCGCTACCAGGGCCCTGGTCGACAAAATGCTCATCGGGTTCGTCGCCCTGCCCCCCCTGAGCATGGGGGGAATGGGGAGAGGGTGAGCCCGAGGGGGGGGGGTCAGGCGCGGGGTAGCCTTGAAGCCCTGCCCGCCCTGGAGGGGGGAAGCCAGCGCAGGGGGGGGGAGGGGGAGGAGGAGGGAGAGGAGGAGGAGGAGGAGGAGGAGGAGGAGGAGGAGGAGGAGGAGGAGGAGGACGACGAGGAGCCCGCCCCTGGTTCCCCCGTTGCGGGCCGCTGAACTTGCAGTTCACGTCGAGCCCCGCGTTGAGCTTCGGCAGGATGTTGAGGCACCTGTCCGCCGCCAGGGGCCCGGCGCGGGGCGGGCGGGAGGGAAAGAGGGGCAGCGGAGGTGTCGGAGGAGGGCACGCGAGGAGGATGACGCGAGGAGGAGGAGGAGGAGGAGGAGGAGGAGGAGGAGGAGGAGGAGGAGGGGGAGGAGGGCACGCAAGGAGGGTACATTCCCTCCCCCATTCATCTGGACACACACACACACATAGATGCGTACATATCAGCCGCGCTTTGAGCTGTTCCCCCTCCTCCTCCGCCTCGCCCTCGTGCTCCTCCTCATCCTCCTCGCCCTACCCTGCTCGGGCTCACAGTCTGGCTCCTGCCCCTGCAACTCATCCCCAGTGTCGAAATCCCACTCAACTGTTCTTGCTCGACCTCCTCCTCTTACCTCACGTCACATCATTCCGATATTATCATCCACCCGACCATCACGTGAGCGGCATCAAACTCGGTGTCTCACACCTCATCATCACCACCAGCATCGTCAAAATCATACTCATCGTACACATCGTCATAATCACAAGCATCACCACCATGATCATCATAATCACAAGTATGGCATCATCCCTGTTAATCCACTCACACCCATCATCCACAATAGCATCATCATCATCATAATCAGCATCATCATCATCATCAGCAGCAGCAGCATCATCAGCATCATCACCATCAGCATCATCAGCATCATATGTATCAACATCATCAGCATCATCAGCATCAGCATCATCATCATCAGCATCGTCATCATCATCATCAACAACATGATCATCGTCATCATCATCAGCAGCAGCATCGTCATCGTGATCGTCATCGGCATCGTCAAAGGCAGCATCATCATCAGCATCAGCATCAGCTTCACCATCATCACCATCATGATCACCGTCATCATCATAATTATCATCAGCAACAGCATCATCATCATCGTCTTCATCATCGTCATCGTCATCAGCAGCGGCATCAGCATCATCTACCTTCAACATTAGCATCATCATCGTCGTCATCATCATCGTCATCATCATCACCACCACCATGATCATCATCAGCACCACCATCATCATAATCAGCATCGGCATCATCATCATCGTCATAAGCATCGTCATCAGCAGCAGCATCACCATCACCGTCACCATCATCATCATCAGCAGCATCATCAGCATCGTCGTGGTCATCATCATCACATCCTCACCACCACCACCACCATCATCGTCATCATCACCAGCATCATCATCGGCATCGCCATCATCATCATCACCATCATCGTCGTCATCATCAGCGTCATCATCACCACCAACAACATCATCGTCATCATCATCAGCAGTAGCACCACCATCATCATCACCATCATCGACACCAGCATCATCATCATCATCAGCTTCATGACAATCATCTCCGTCTTAATAGTCATGTGTCATTATCGTCATCATCAGCAGTATCCGCATCGTCGACATCATCAGCATCATCATCACAGCAGTTCTCCTGAACATGCGAAGATCAGCATCATCATTAGCAGTAGCAGTAACAACATAACCATCATCATCATCATCGTCATCATCATCATCATCATCATCATCATCATCGTCATCATTATAACCACCGAGCGAGCGCCTGCGAATACCACGGTCGCCCGCGAGCACCACACAACATGTATGGCTGGGAGCACGAGCACCACGAGGACAACGTCAGGAGGAGGAGAAGGAGGAGGATGAGGAGCGGGAGGGGGAGGGGGAAGAGGGGAAGAGGAGGAGGAGGAGGAGAAGGAGGAGGAAGAGGAGGAGGGGAAAGGGGAGGGGAGGAGAAGGAGGAGGAGGAGGAGGAGGAGGAGGAGGAGGAGGAGGGGGATGAGCACAAGTACCACTAGGACAACGTCAGGAGGAGGAGGAGGGGGAGAACGACGACAACGAGGCCACTCCCCGTCTCGGGCCCCGGGGCGCCCAGACACCTCCGGCAGCACGAGCCGGCAGCAGAAGCGTCAGCAAACAGGTCGCTTCGTCCTGGCCCCAGCTGTCTCGCCCCTTCCCTCCTCCCCACCCCCTACCCCCTTCGCCTGCACTTGCGTGGAGCACCTTGGAAACGAGAAAAGGGGGACGCAGATGACGAGAGGAGGAACGCTACGACGACGACGACGACGACGACGACGACGACGACGACGACGACGAC